GTTTGAGCCTTATATTTCATTATAGAAGTGAAATTTAAAAGATTTTATAGAATTAAATACTGGCAGATTTTCAAATATTGCTTCTACGATGATTTGGAAACTTTTCTTGTACAAAATTTTTATCTAAGTATTGGGCCTAGTTAACAGGTCAAATTATTATCTTTTTTAGCTAGGTTCGATCTTAGATACTTAAAGTATACAAATCGCGTGATTGTTGATATAGGTTTAAAATTTTAAACGGCAATTCTTTACGTATGTAATAATACGTTTTCGAATGCTGGAAACAAAAACTTAAGTTCCGACCTTTCCTTCCATAATTTAAACATATTATCAAATAGAGCACAACAACATAAAGAAATGCTGTTTTTAAGTAATACTTTACTAAGTCAATGACATATATATTATTAGGTGGTAAATATACATTAAAAAGTGGTAATGGTAATTTTTTTTTGAAAGTTAACTGCCAGTAATATTTTTTTGAATATTTAGCACGTAAGTGTGCACTTTATTAAATTTTAATTATATATATAATGATTTTAATCAATTAAATTTTAATTATATCGATAATGATTTTAATCAATTCAATTAAATTAGGATGTTTAGAATGATTGATAATGATTTTTATAATACAATTGTATAACTTATCGAATTGTATATATCTTATTAAGTGGAGGGACGTAAGTATAGATTTTATTAATATCTTGTAAAAAATGAATATTATTATTATGGGAGTGTTTGTTTATTTTTAAATTACTAGATGGTGTGTATAATTTTAATGATAGTCTATGAGTTTTAATCTATACAGTATTTTATATATTTATATATTCTGAATAATTAGCGAGTTAGTATATCTAATTATTATCAATTAAAGTTTTGGTATTTTTTGATTCATTTTTTTTCATATTTTTCTATATAAAATTATTAGGCTGTAAGTATAAAGTATAATTATAGTGTATGACATCTTCAATAGCCTCAAGATCGGTACCAAAAATTTCGGAATCTCATTATTCAAAATTAAGACAATTTCAACATCCTGCAATTCATTATTCTGATAATGCAATATCCTTACATTAATTTCATTATTAATGCTAGTAAAGTCATGTTTGAATATTGAATTATGGTTATGGTGCGATTTCAAGAAATCCACCGACCATTTGCTTATAACATTGCTTATGCTTAAACATATGATAGTAAATATATGTATTGTCGGAAAATGATTGTGAAATTGTGGAATTACCGATAGTTTGAATAGTCACTTATGAGGTTACTGTTACTATTACAAATGAAGGATTTATTAATAATTCTAAATTTCGGTTTACATTTATAGCATGTATGTATAGGTTTTTTAGGTACTATTTTTATAATTATTTTCAATTTTAAATTTACATTACGTGTTGTGTTAAATTAATAGGCGGTGGGTATAGTCATTGTTTAAAAAAAAAATGGGTTGGCAATTTTCAATTAATAATTTTCATTATACTATTAGCCTGTGAGTGTCACTTGTAGAAATTAATTTTATCCTATTATTTGTTTATAATAATTAATTAATAACTATTTTTTATAATACAGGCTGTGAGTATTTAGTAATAGTAATATTCTGATCCGTTGGGAATTAGTGGAAACGAAGTTTCCGCTTATTCACATACGGTCAGGGTATTATCGGGGGATTAACAT